TATATATATATATAAGTGAGTGCCCCTATGAGGTTGTATTGAGTTACTTCCTAACCTCAAGCAATAATAATCTAAAAAAGGTAGCACATTGAGTATGTTTAGGTGTATATTCTTACATGATTACTTTCCCTAGTAAAACTAGACTCCATTGTTCCACAAGAGACCATAGAATTGGCCTCCTAAAGCTTAAGACTATCATTGTTAGACCTACCCATGAAGCCACCAATGGTTGGTGATTATTTAACCAAATACAAAAAAAATAAATTGGTATTATTTTGAGTTTTAACAAAATCAAAATTTACAAAATTTTTCACCTCATTTGATAACGACGATGGTTAAGCTTCGATTCATGGTTCTCTCACATACACACATGCTTAGTTCATAAATTATTGAATCAATCAGATATATTACCATACCTGATTTCCTTTGCCACTTCAAAGAAGTGGGCAACATTTTCTTCCGGTGTTCCTACAACAATACCGTGTCCCAAATTCAAGACATGCTTGTTCGTACCAGCCTTTTCGACTGTGTCATGAATCCGTTTCGTTATGAAGTCTTTCGATCCAAATAGAACACCTGGGTCGATATTTCCTTGAACCGCTATGTCTAAACCCAATCTTCTTCGTCCTTCCCCTATGTCGACTGTCCAGTCCAAGCTAACAACGTCAACGCCTGATAGGCGGAGTCTCTCGAGCAATCCTCCACATCCACTGGCATATAAGATCAATGGAAGATGTGGATGTGTGTTCTTAACAGAGGCTACCATTTGTTTCAAGTAAGGAAGGCTAAATTCGTCAAAATCTACTGGACTCAACTCTGTTGCCCAGGAATCAAAAATCTGAACAGCTTGAGCTCCATTGTCTGCTTGGTATTTGATGTATCTTGACATGGAGTTGGTGAATTTTTGCAGTAATGCATGTAGAATCTGAAGAGAAGAAATCAGACAATGATTGTAGCATCTTGCAAAAACGAAAAATAAAAGAAACTGTTCATTGATTAAGTATATGGATGAACTGCTTTAGTCTACTTTGGTTAACTTCAATTTGTCTTTGTGCAAAAAAAAATGTTAGGAGTTATTCCTTAGAATTAGAGTTATGTTAGGAAATAATTTATTCTTGTAAATAAATTATTTCCTTAGAATTAATGAGATATTTATTTCCCTATTTTATGTTGTTTCCTATATCTCCTAATAATTAATGCGAATTAATTATTGGAGATACTAAGTGTTATACCCTTCCTTTCATATCATTTACCTTTTATTATTTTTCCTATTACAAGATTATTGTAAGGGTTATTTATAACCACATTCATATCAATGAAAATGTGTGTATTCCACCACATTATTCTGAGTTTTAACATGGTATCAGAGAAAACACGATTCTGAGTCTTACCATCTCCTCTTCCACACAAAAACCCCATCTATCTTCTTTCTAAGCCAAAACACATGGCAGACGAAACTCAAAATTCAGCAAAACCTGAATTTAGCAAATTCAATAATCCGAACGACCCCTTTTTTCTCCACTACTCAGATCAACCTGGTCTCGTGCTTGTTACGCAACCGCTGAATGGAGAAAACTACAATTCTTGGAGTCGTGCCATGTTGATGGCTCTCAACATCAAAAACAAAGAAGGTTTTGTCAACGGCACCGTCCAAGAACCACCAGAGACGTCCATCGCAGAACTTCAACAATGGAGGCGCTGCAACAACCTTGTCAAGGCATGGTTGTTTAATTCAATTGCAGAAGACATTGGAGCAAGTATAATATATAACGAGAGTGCCCATGAAATCTGGCTCGACCTGAAGGAACGTTTTTCTCGTACCAACAGCGTTCATATTTTCCAGGTCGAAGAAGCCACCACGATTGCAAGCAAGGCGATATGACAGTTGGAGCTTATTACACCAAGCTCAAAGGCCTATGGGATGAACGTGATGCCCTCCATAACATTCCTAAATGCACGTGTGGTGCCATGAAGGAAGTGATGCAGTTTCAGCAAAACCAGAAAACCATGAAATTTCTCATGGGGCTTAATGAAACATACACTAGTATAAGAGGACAAATTTTGCTCATGGATCCCCTTCCCAATGTCAGCAAGGCACATTCTCTCGCGCTCCAAGAGGAAAAGCAGCGCGGCATGAACAATCTAAATGTGCCGCAGCCGGAAGCTTCAGCTTTTGCCGTGAAGAATAATGCACGAAAACCAGAGAAGGTTTTCACGCCTAAAAATCCTCATTTAAAGTGTGGAAAATGTGAAAAAATTGGGCATACCTCAGACACATGTCGAGCACATCTCAAATGTGATTATTGTGGATGGCAGGGACACACCATCAATGATTGTAGGAAGTTGCAAAGGACCAATCCAACGGGCAATA